TCCGGTTTTGATGGACTCATTTCAATTGGTTCAATCCGAGGATGTGGACAAGGTGCTTGGAGGAATGAGAGCTACCACATGCATCCTAGACCCCTGCCCATCCTGGCTTCTAAAGAGGCCAGAGGGGGATTGGCCGAGTGGGTGAAGGTGGTGGTTAATGCCTCCCTTCGGGAGGGCAAAATTCCAGCCAGTTTAAAGCAAGCTGTGATAAAACCGCTGTTGAAGAAACCATCACTGGACCCCACTCAATTCGTCAACTATCGGCCTGTTTCCAATCTCCCCTTTTTGGGCAAAGTCATGGAACGTGTGGTGGCCTCACAACTCCAGGCATTCTTGGTAAACACGGATTATCTGGACCCAGCACAGTCTGGCTTTAGGCCGGGGCATGGTACCGAGACAGCCTTGGTCGCCTTAGTGGATGATCTGCGCCGGGAGCTCGACAGGGGGAGTGTGTCCCTGTTGGTGCTGCTGGACCTCTCAGCGGCCTTCGATACCGTCGACCACGGTATCCTTCTGGGACGCCTCACGGGAATGGGTCTTGGAGGTACTGTTTCTGCAGTGGCTCCGCTCATTCCTCGAGGGTCGGTCTCAGAAGGTGTTACTGGGAGACTCCTGTTCAACCCCACAACCTTTGTCTTGTGGGGATCCTCAGGGTTCAATACTGTCTCCCATGTTGTTTAACATCTACATGAAGCCGCTGGGCGAGATCATCCGGAGTTTCGGAGCGGTGTCATCTGTACGCAGATGATGTCCAACTCTGTCACTCCTTCCACCTGCTACTAAGGAGGCTGTCGAGGTCCTGAACCGGTGCTTGGCCGCTGTGACGGTCTGGATGAGGGCGAACAAATTGAAATTGAATCCTTGAGTCGCCAGTTAGGCTGAGAAACGGCGGTATACAAGGACAGTAAATAAATAAAAATAAATAAATTGAATTGTTGCCGACTGTGAACCACCCTGAGTTGCCTCCAGGCTGAGAAAGGCAGTATATAAATGTGGTAAATAAATAAATAAATAAATAAATAAATAAATAAATAAAATAACAGAGTTCTCTTGAAATAGTAGCCATTTCTTCCCACTGCCTCATATAAAGATCCCATAACATGGATGAGGTCCAGCGTTGTGATTTGCAAGCCTCTGTGGCAAATTGGAGTGTTAGCAGAGCAATCCTGGCACTCCAGCCAGCAGCTGACGCTTCCACATCACACATAGGGAAGTGTCACCAAGTGGCTTAATTCCACGGTAGCCCTATTGTTCCTAATGAAACACATTACTACTGTGTTGGTGGCACACAGTCCTATCACACTGCCACCCCAGTTCACCCACAGAACCCTGTCCGAAGTCATCCTACATCATCTGACAAGAGGTGTGGGGCTCAATGAGTGAACCGCCTTATTTTTTCACATGTAATGATGTCGTGCCTTGGACTGCGAGAAGATCCAACCAGTCCATACTTCAGGAAATAAAGCCCGACTCCTCATTGGGGGAAGGATATTAGAGACAAAGATGAAGTATTAGAGGTCACATCATGAGAAGACAGGAAAGCTTAGAGAAGACAATTATGCTGGGGAAATGGAAGGAAAAAGCAAGAGGGGCCGACCAAGGGCAAGATGGATGGATGGTATCCTTGAAGTGACTGGCTTGACCTTGATGGAGCTGGGGGTGGTGACAGCTGACAGGGAGCTCTAGCGTGGGCTGGTCCATGAGGTCACGAAGAGTCGGAAGCGACTGAACAAATAAATAACAACAAATGAGGTCGTAAGTGTGTATCCAGGGATGATTCCCATTCTCTTCAGTCTTCTTCTGAGTTAAGTATAAATAAGCTTGTAGCCTTCTTGCAGAATCAAACAATGTCAACAAAACTATGAAGAACAGGGTACCTCATTGTATAGGGATATAATTTCCCACAGGCCCGTAGCCAGGATTTCGATTCGGGGGGGGGGGGGGAGTTTTTTTCAGGGGGGGTTTCGGGGGGGCTGAGTTTTGGGGGGGGGGCTGAGTCTGAGTGAAAGAGGGTCTACCCTAGCAAACCTTTTGTATCATTACCCCAATACCCCCATGCATATGGGATATATTGAGTATGGTGATCAGATCATGATATGAATAATGCACCAGTAAGGCCTTTTCGCGAACCACCATGAGAATTTCGAGGGGGGGGGGGCTGAAGCCCCTCAAGCCCCCCCCCCCACCTGGCTACATGCCTGAGTTCCCATCATAAGCCAGTGATGGCTTTTTGCCATGTCTAAATCAGACTATCTCCATCCCAGAAAAAATGGACACTCTCAAAAACCAGAGGGGATCATTTCAATCTCCTTGAGCATCATGGCCAATCCAGACATTCATATAGATTCATTGCATGGTGGCTATTCCTTCAGCTATAAAGGAAGGAATCACTTTAAGCCATTTCTTCCTACCTACCTGCCTCTAGTATTGATTTTTAGCTGGGTGGAAATGCTATCAAGCAGACATGGGCAAAATTCATTCTGGTGGGATCTACTTTGTTGATCTCCAGACCCTTGGAGCTATATCTGCTAGAGCTAGGTGCAAAACAGTAGCTTAGAAAGTCAGCCTGCTATAAGCATAATATTAAGGAGGAAGATGGTTCTGAGTGCATTGCAGCTCAGCTGTTTAATTTATAAATCAGAAATGAGTTCACAATTCTCTCTCTCTCTTTACACACACATTTTCTTCCTTTCAGGTTGCTAGTTGAGCTGGGAAGGAGGAAGATGTCCTTGCTGTTAAAACAACTTAACAGTTGGAAATTGTTGCTGATCTATAGCAATCACCCAGAGATCTACCAGATCTACTAGATCTGCCCCTGCTCTTCAGGCAAGGAGCTGCAGCAATATATGGTTCTGGAGTGTTGCACTGCCTTCCCATTTGTGCATAATGAAACAAAGATCGGAGCTTAGGGATTCTTAGAATTCTATTTTCCATATATCTATGTATTGGTGCATATGTCCACTTTGGTACTTGGTGCTCTTCCAGCAGTCACCAGCCAATCCCTCTCCATTAGGAAAATGTTGACCATTTCTGCTCCCTTGGCAGTTACCTCTCCACAAAAGTCAACATTGACACCGAAATACAACACCACCTGAGCTCTGCAAGTGCAGCATTTTTCCAAATGAAGCAGAGAGTGTTTGAGGACTGGGACATCCATAGGGATACCAAGGTGCTTGGTTATAAAGCTATTGTCCTCCCAACCTTGCTATATGCCTGCGAAATGCGGACTGTCTACAGACATCACATGCAACTCCTGGAATGATTCCATCAGCACCGCCTCCGGAAAATCCTGCAAAACTCTTGGGTAGACAAGTGGACAAATGTCAACATGCTGGAAGAAGCAAAGACCAACACTGAAGTGATGGTCCTCACCATCAACTCCGCTGGACCAGCCAAGATTTACATGCTATCCTTTCCTTTCCAATTTTTCATTGCCCTCCTCTGTATCAGAATATATAGGATTGGGGAGGGGGGGCAACATAAAATGTGTCCTACTGGTTTCTGACATTGTGCAATTAAATCTTCTCAGGAGGGCAAAGGAGGTGGTTCTAATAGTCCTTCTAACATATGTCATCAGTTGGGGACTTCTCCCCCCAGCACCAACTGTTGCTCTGGGCCAGAGTGAAGAGAGAAGGGGCCAGGGGACAGTTCCATCTTGTCTCCTGCACATGTCATCAGTTGGGGACCACTCCCCCCAGCACCAACTGCCACTCTGGGCTAGAGTGAAGAGAGAGGGGGCCAGGGGACAGTTCAATCTTGCCTCCTGCACATGTCATCAATTGGGGACCTCCCCCCCCCCAGCACCAACTGCCACTCTGGGCCAGAGTGAAGAGAGAGGGGGCCAGGGGACAATTCCATCTTGTCTCCTGCACATGTCATCAGTTGGGGACTCCTGCCCCCAGCACCAACTGCCGCTTTGGGCTGGAGTGAAGGGGAGCCAGGGGATAGTTCCACCTTGTCTCCTGCATGTGTCATCAGTTGGGAACCTTTCCCCCAGCACCAACTGCTGCTATGGGCTGAAGTGAAGGGAGGCAGGGGACAGTTCCATCTTGTCTCCTGCATGTGTCATCAGTTGGGGACCCCTTCCCCAGCACCAACTGCCTCTCTGGGACAGAGTGAAGAGAGAGGGGGCCAGGGGACAATTCCATCTTGTCTCCTGCACATGTAATCAGTTGGGGACCCCTGCTCCCAGCACCAACTGCTGCTCTGGGCCAAAGTGAAGACAGAGGGGGCCAGAAGACAGTTCTACCTTGTCTCCTGTGTTATGCTTTAATATAATATAATATAATATAATATAATATAATATAATATAATATAATATAATATAATATAATATATTGTATATTCATATAATACTTATAATATTATAATGTACTACTAATAATAATAATAATATGATGTTATAATTACATATTTTATATTACATGTAATCTTACTAATAATATTACAATATAATGGTATAGTACAATATAGTAATATATAATACTTATATTGTACTATCCTAATAATATAATATATTGTATGTATATGTATCTTGTAAGCCGCTCTGAGTCCCCTTCGGGGTGAGAAGGGTGGCATAAAATGTCGTAAATAAATTTTGTTGTTCATTCATTCAGTCATTTCTGACTCTTCGTGAGTTCATGGACCAGCCTATGCCAGAGCTCCCTGTTGGCTGTCACCACCCCCAGCTCCTTCAAGGACAATCCAGTCACTTCAAGGATGCCATCCATCCATCTTGCCCTTGGTTGGTCCCTCTTCCTTTTGCCTTCCATTTTCCCCAGCATAATTGTCTTCTCTAACCTTTCCTTTCTTCTCATGATGTGGCCAAAGTACTTCATCTTGACCTCTACTATAATATCTGCTCCATGTGCTGATTTTCATTTCTGCTAGTGTAATATAATCCTTCTTATGCACAAAGCTGTGATGGCATTCTGTGTCAACAAGTAAAGACTTTTCATGCCAAAACGGATTTCTCAACAACAACTGGTTTCGCAACTAACCTCTGTGTATTGCTGGATTACATTTTCAGGGGTTGGGCCCAAGAAGACATAGAAGTCGAGGATTCCTCCAATGGTGCGGAAGGTCAGAGATGGCTCTGGACTCAAAGTGACATCTGAAGAAAGAGAACAGACATGTGGCCTTCAACATCAAGCGCCTCGGGGTCACCTGCCCCCCCCCCCAAGCTGGAGTCTTTTGTACATAACAGCTAAGTAGGTCATCCAAACTCTTCATGTAATCATAGCACACATTCCACGAAGCAAGTTCACTGCCAGAACTAACATTTCACAAACTTGAACCTGACACTCCTTGCTTGGCACACACAGAAGCACAGAAGCAAGAGAGCAAAGGATTGTGAAATGATATGATTCAACCGATAATTCTGAAGAAGCACTTGGGAAAGTTACTTGTTGGACTACAATGCACAGACGTCACCTACCAATCTAGCTAATGCTTCCTTTCCCACCGCCCCCCAAAAATATATTCAGCAATGTATGAATATAGATCTGATTGCAAAATATGTTTTTCTGGCAGGCTCTGCATAGATAAGAAATGCATTTCATCACTATAGGAAAGATTCTCTTCTGCAAAAAATGTAGAATGAGATTAATACAAGAAGGTGACCATGACAACAGGCAGAGTTATTCTTCATCAACAGAATACAAGATAACTCTAAATTGGGTTATTTCAATTGTATAAACCCCTGAGGATTTTTCTAAAAATCAACTTCATTTTCCCCCCATCACAAGCATCTATTTTTAACAGTCAATCATATTTGTTTGGATGAAACAGACACATTTTGTGTCAGTTAACTATGAAAAAGGAACATCCATCTAGATAGCTTTTTGCAATTTCTGGGAATCTGAGAATGAGGACTTTTGGGATTTCATGGCATAATTTTAGCTTTGATGCTTTTCACTTTTTGTGTGTTAAACAGAAAAATAAAGTGACAAGCATGCCTACAAGAAGCACACAAGATTATGCTATGACTGTGCAAACTATTTGGAAGTAAACCCCATTTAATGAAAGTTACTTCTAGATAACAATATATAAGTTGAAAAAATGTTCAAAATACTCAGAAAATAGTTTAAAATCCCTATATTTGTCAGTGTCAAGAAACTTTGGAAAGAAAAATCATGGATCAATGGAAATCTTCACAGTTCAGAACTTGTTCTGTCTATATTTTTCCTCTGCAAAAATTGCATGTGGTTGATTTGCACAGAAACAGTATTTTCTGGAAAGATTTGTCTGTACAGAATATAATATTTCTGCAGAGAAATATTTTCTGCAAATAAAATACATGAATTTTAAATGCGTGTTATAACGATAACACCTCCACTACAGACTAGCTCACCAAAATATAGAGGGAGTATGGTTGTTGAACCAACTATCTATTTAAAAGTTAGGAACTGGGAACCCCTGTATCTGAGAGACTTAAAATAATTCTTCAAAAGATTACCGCTGCCAACATATTAATAATAAAAAGGCTGAGTTTATGCTGAGAGATGGTTTTGTGACCCACACTGTGTCACTATAGTTTTCTTGGAGGCTGTTGAAAGCTGACTTGAATAATGTTTTGACCACAAAAGGTATTCACACTGAGGCTGGTATTAGTTGATAAAAATAACAAGAACATTTATTGAACAGGCTTGAATTATTCAGGTACAAATGCTTAATGGTTTCAGTAAAATACTGGCATAAAAAGCTTGTGGTTGAGTTTGAATAAAGATCTTAAAAATTTCTGGGTTAAAAGTCTTAAAAGTTTCAACACAGAAAATTACTTCAGGAAATGAAGTATTCTGGATTAATTCATTTAGAAAAAATGATATAAAACTATTTTGTTGGCCTTTCTCCATCAGTATTTATAAAGGTTGGAAACACATAATTAAATGCTCATGTATGACCAGAAAAGTATTAGAATCCAAATTAGTTATCCCTTATAAACCAATACGACACACGTTGGCAGTAGCCACCTTGTTCAATTAATTTGACAATTGACACACAATTGACTTAGGTTGGATCTAGCCAGATATTTTATATTTCCACACAGTGTGATAAATAACCAAAATCTTATAATAAATTATGTTCTAAGAGCTAACAATGGTACACTATCCAGGTGAGCAACAGTGCACACATGGTGTTCCTTCACATCTATTAGGTAGAGATGCTCAGATGAGACAACAAATATTGCAGGGTGGGGAATATTAGTAAGGGGATAGGAGTGTCATAGAGCCTGTGCATCACCCCCAAACTAGCCTGCTTAGATTCAACAAAGGACATTATCCTGTCACCAATGCTAAGGACAGATTTAATGAGGACGGATTTCACATACTGCTTAGGTTCAGTACATAGAAGGCACCATCTTGTCCTCTCTTTGAGATAGAAAAATACTTGGGGCCAGGCCTGGATGGCAGAAGTAGCTGACATAAAGAAATGCCTTTGTGGTAGTTACTTCCTCAACTGCAGTGAATCTGTTATAGAACTCCAATATGCTGATGACAACGTCGTCTGTGCGCACTCAGAAGAAGACCTACTAGTCACTCTAAACACCTTTACAGAAGCATACGAGAAGCTCGGCCTGTCATTGAACAATGAGAAAACCAAAGTGCTAATCCAGCAGTCACCAGCCAATCCCTCTCGAATGCCAGAAATACAGCTTAATGATGTAACATTAGAAAATGTTGATCATTTCCGCTACCTTGGCAGCCACCTTTCCACAAAAGTCAACATTGACACTGAAATACAACACCACCTGAGCTCTGCGAGTACAGCATTTTTCTGAATGAAGCAGAGAGTGTTTGAGGACCGGGACATCTGTAGGGATACCAAAGGTGCTTGTTTATAAAGCTATTGTCCTCCCAACCCTGACATGTGCCTGCGAGACGTGGACTATCTACAGACGTCACATGCAACTCCAGGAACAATTCCATCAGCGTTGCCTCCAAAAAATCCTGCAAATCTCTTGGGAAGACAGGCAGACGCATGTCATCATGCTGGAATAAGCAAAGACCACCAGCATTGAAGCGATGGTCCTCCACCATCAACTCCGCTGGACTGGCCACGTTGTCCGTATGCCCAACCACCGTCTCCCAAAGAGTTGCTCTACTCCGAACTCGAGAACGGAAAATAGAATGTTGGTAGGAAGGAAAAGAGATTTAAAGATGGGCCCAAAGCCAACCTAAAAAACTGTGGCATAGACACTGAGAACTGGGAAGCCCTGACCCTTGAGCACTTCAACTGGAGGTCAGCTGTGACCAGCAGTGCTGTAGAATTTGAAGAGACACGAATTGAGAGCAAAAGTGAGAAACATGCCAAGAGGAAGGTGCATCAAGCCAACCCCGACCAGAACCGCCTTCCATCTGGAAACCAATGCCCTCACTGTGGGAGAACATGCAGGTTAAGAATAGGGCTCCACAGTCACCTACGTACCCACCACCAGGTCACCGATCTTGGAGGACTATCCTACTTGGACAATGAGGGATCACCGAAGTAAGTAAGCAAGCAGTGAATAAGAAAGCCCAAAGATATATGCACTCATCTAATGGGTGTTCTAATATAAAAAGATGTTCTAAGGTTGCAACCCATGCTCAGCAGTTAGTCCTAAATCATTTAGTTCAACATGACTTAGGGCTTGTCTTCACTACGCAGTCGCTCTTGGCTGTCTTCATGACATCCTGAAACTTCCAGTGCTTATCAGAGCTTAACCTGGATTAACCCCAAGTTTTAAAAGAGCCAAGCAATGCCCCAGAGTTTGGTCTAAATCATTGGTTTTAGCACAGTGCGGACAGGAGGACCAGGTGCAATTTGGATCACTGTGGAGCACTTTTGTTCAGGCTTGGCCATGGATTAAGTGGGACGTTAGCTTCATGAAGAGATGATATGCCATGGAATTGCCACCTCAGCTCACTACTTTGACATAACTGATTGATATCAACTGTATCATAGCTCACTACATTGATAGAAGTACAATGATTTCTTTACAATTAGCATCAAAGGTAATTGCTTTAATTATTTACAATTAATAACAAACAATTAAATACCTTGTGCATTGGAATTAAGGAAGAGGACACCATGAGTATTTGAATCACTCTCTATGCACATGTAAAAGGGATGGACGCCATACAGATTTGCATACATCTGAAATATAAAAAGTAGCTCATACTATTGCTTCATATTAGCTCTCAAACAAAGAAGCCTATTTACAGGCCGCATAATGCATTTTAGCTCATTGTCCATCAGAATCTGTAAATACTAGCATTGAAGTTAATACATTAACATTATAAAAGATGATCAATTAATTGCTAAACCATTCTAGAATTCATAAAATGAATTTCTTAGATTGATGCATGTGTTTTAATTTTTAAAGTATTAATTAAAGTGACTAAAGAAAGCCAAAAAAGACCAATCCTTCACAAAAAATATCCACAGAAGGAACATATGTACCCATCCACAGAAGGAACAGAATATCAGTTATTAAGGCAACATGTAATACTGTTGTCACAGTGAGTCATCACAGGATTAAGTGTGTGTGTGTGTGTGTGTGTTAAAGAAAACCTTATGCTGTTAATTATTATGTGCAGCTGCTAATGTAGGTCAACTAGTAAGTTTGGACCATACCCGGTGGGGTATAACTGTCTTGTGTTTAGAATACAGTTCAGCTTTTGCTCTGAGGAGCCTGTGCTCAGGCATTTTGCTCAACCATTTCTACTGCTCTCTCATTTGGATGAAGATGAAGAAGCTTTATTATGTATTGCTTACAAAGACTATGTAAGTTTGTTGCACTGTTTGTAATATTGCAAGTTTATGTTTTAATTCTGATGATAAGAGTAGAGTTTTTCTGGGGTTTTTTCCCCTCTTGCCTGGGTGCAATGTTATTGTGTCTTCTGCATTGGACTTGACTGAACTATGCTTAGCACAACAACTGTTGCTATTTAACAATTACAATAACTCATTTTCAAATTACCACCCCTCTGTTATTGCAGCTCCATTGGCTGCCAATTCAGTTCCGAGCACAATTCAAAGTGCTGGTTTTGACCTACAAAACCCTATACGGTTCCGGCCCAGCATATCTGTCCGAACGCATCTCCTTCTACGTCCCGCCTCGGAGTTTAAGATCTTCTGGGGAGGCCCTGCTCTCAGCCCCACCTCTATCACAAGTGAGGTTGGTGGGGACGAGGAGCAGGGCCTTCTCGGTGGTGGCCCCTCACCTGTGGAATTCACTCCCCGGGGAAATTAGGTCATCGACATCCCTCCTCTCTTTTAGAAGGAAATTAAAAACATGGATTTGGGACCAGGCTTTTGGGTAACCTGGCAGATACATAAAGGACAATGACGACTAGAATTGATAGGAACTGACAATGTGGAATGAATTTATGGATTCTGAGCTGGCGAACGTTGAGCATGAGATTGGTTTTATTGCTTGTGATGTAAAATTGATTGTTTTAATTGTTTATAATTGTTTATAATTGCTGTTTATATATGTTTTATTTTTATTGTTGTGTAGGCATTGAATTGTGCCTTTTGTAAGCCGCCCTGAGTCCCCCCTCGGGGCTTGAGAAGGGCGGGGTAGAAATGTGCAAATAAATAAAATAAATAAATTGGAAATTTCCTCATATGGTCTATTTGAAGAGATACTGCGAAGTGGCTTCAAAATTTAATCAGGTTCATTTGATTTGATCTGGATCTAGGCCAGATTAGACCAACTCAGCCCTGATTTGATTTAGACTCAGCCAAAATGATTACATAGCCCTAGTAACAATGACAAAAAGATTTGTCTAGGGAAAAGTATAAGATGACAAAATTAATTGGCTTACCTTTGGAGACTGGTCCCTAGAATACATCCCATAGGTTACATCGTTCATATTGTGTTTAAAGGATGGGTGCTGATGCTCTCCAAAACCATACACAGAAGTGGATGGAACATTAGTGGTAATTTGAAGATATTGGTCAGAAAACACCAGATTTGCAAGAGAAGTTTCCCATCTATATTAAAATCAAAGAAATCACCAGGTGTCACTCAGTTGCTTTGAAATTTGGAAATTAGCTCTATTAGTCCTCGTGAAATCTACAGTGTCTTTTGCAGTAATGTATTGAAATGAGGGGATATGAAGATTAAAGAGATAGTCAAAATGATACATTGTCAAAAAATTATTATTACAGACAAAGAATACATGCAAAAATTTGAGCGAAATAATGCCTTGATCTTCCTGCCAATTCTTATCAAGCTCAGTGGGGTCATTCATAGTTTTGGGTTTTTAAAAAAATGCACACCACATGGTGACATTTAGAATGTCACTAACAATAAGCACATATGTTTGGTTGAAGACACTGTGTGTCATAATTGCACTTGTGAGATGTACTTTTTACAATATGTCTCCTATTCGTTTTTAGAGTTTACAGTGATAGAGAACTCTGACACAAACAAAGTTGTGTCAATAGGATTAAGATCCGAAGCTAACTGAGAGCCCAACTGAACCAATGGAAGGAACAGGAAACAAAACAAATCAGAATGATTATTATTTTTATTGACGAGAACTGAGCACTATAAAAGGTATTTTGCTTTGTTCGATTTTGATTCAGAAGATCGACAGATGGATAGACAACTAGATCAATATATTGATCCTGCCTTCCACTGCATTTGCCACACTCGAGGCAACAAAATCTCAAATAATTCACTAAAACCTTAAGAAGTAACAACAACACAACAAAGTAATTAAAAACAGGTGTATCAGAAGAAAATATATATACGAGGGTTGAATGAAAAGTAATGCCTCCACCTTATTTTGGATTGCTCCTTTAAAGTTTGGATTAAAAGAAAGTGTGATTCACCACCTCTCTGACACCAGAGCTACTACATTCTGCTTCTGGACTTTAACATTTGAGATGCTGACTGTAGTGAATCTTACCTAGTAGGCTAGAAAAGAAGCCTGGATAACAGTATGGCAAACCTCCATTTTGAAAGTGTAAGCCAGTGAAGCAGCCATCTTGAGTGAGGATAGTTAGAAGATGGGAGGAGTTTGCGGTCTCCTGGGATTGGCTAAAGTAGCTGGGAGGAGCCAAGTCTTAAGAGGGAAAAGATTTCAGCTTCTGTGGAGTGGAGAACTGGGAGCTGGTGGAATAAGAAGTGTTTTTGAAACTGGGTTTTCAGAGAGAGTGTGTCTGTAAGACGGGGGCTGATTAGCTGACAGGAGAAAGGTCAGACAGCAACCTGATTTCTTGTTGGAGATAGCACAAGAGATTAGCTCTCTAGGCTGAGTTAATTAGCAGGAAGAACTAGCTGATAACTCAGGGGACTACCTAGGATAGGTTAGTCAGAAACTCATTACTATTTCTCTGAAGTAGAGTGAGGGATTTTTGTTACTAGCAGCTAGATCTGTTTGATTAGCTCTGTATGTAACTAAGTGAAGAAACTTCTAGCAACCATCAAGCTGTAACAAGTCAAGCGTTTTGTACCTCTCAGAAGTAGTTGCCTGTTTTTATAAATAAATCTTTTTCTATTTAACTTTCAAAAAGGTCTCTATCGTTCCTCAATCTATCATTAATCCCTTGTGATAATTCCAGCAGTTTTAACATCCTAATAATACAGAAAGGCCTTCTGGGAACTAAGGGAAGAGCAGTGTTGGAAGAAGTGGGAAAAGTTTACCTCAAAAACTCATTTTAAAAATCCTAAGGCAACTTGGGTTGGTGGCAGCTTTAAACCAAAAGAAGACTAAAAGACAAGCATTATTCACCCTACCATTACACATATCTATCTATGTCTCACTACCAAATTGGAGGCACAGGGGTGGGATTTTTGAGGAAAAAGTGAATCTTTGGGGGAAGAACCATCCTGCCCAGACATATTATCAATAAGCCTCCAGCCTTGCGTCACTGGTTGTAATATTTTCCTTCTTACTGATGTCCAGTGGTGTGATATTACATATAATCCTTTACAGTGGTGTTCAGCTGTGGGATATATCATAGTATATACTTTATAATTGGTACCAGTGGTGGCAAGTGACGGGATTGATATATTTCGTATATCGTTATACTGACCAACTCTGAACTGACACCAGCTGAAGGAGAAGAAAGACATTAGAAACATCAGGACTGATCAAAGCACAGAGAGATTTCCCCCCTTTGATTTTCTATTTTTGCCTTCTTTCTTTCATAGCGCTTTTATATTCATTTCAGCTAAATCCCCTGTGTAACTCGTAGGCACATTCTAATTAGCCTCTTCCATTATGTTTGTTGTTACTAGGGCTACGACAAGCCTCTGATTCAAGCAACAAATTTATGTATGGTCGCCTTTCTGTTTTTGTTAAAGTGTGGATTTAATACAATAAATTAAATAAAATTATCTGGAGAAGAAATATGTGAAATTGGTATGTCTCTTATTGGAAATTACTTGCTATTAGGGACTTCAGGGGGAAATGAACTAGAAGAGAAAAATTAGCGAATAGATGAATGAGGTGTAATGTTTTCCACACCCAAATGACTCAATTACCACAGCTATTTGCTGCTTTTGTATTAAGCCTTTTAAGAGTTGGTGTTCATATAGTTGGACAAAACAGAGCTCACTTAACCTGGGACAAATGCTTTATTTGTGTGGGCAACGTATTTGGTTTCAATAACTTGCCGCATGCCAAGCACCTCTTGTATATAACACACCCTCTCATTGGCGAGGCAGGGAAGTCATTTGTATTATTCAACGGAGATGAATGCAGTTTGCTTTCTCCTCCCCTCCCCAGGTTGTATGTGAACCTAGATTATCACAGAGGCTAAGACAAGGAACAATGGCTTCAAACTAGAAAGGAGATTCCAGCTGAACATTAGAAAGAATTTCCTGACTGTGAGAACTGTTCAACAGTGGAACTCTCTGCCCCGGAGTGTGGTAGAGGCTCCCTCTTTGGAAGCTTTTAAACAGTGCTCTGCCTAAAAACCAAAGGAAAGTATTGATTTGCCATGTGTTTCCCTTTAAAACTGAGATACTCTCCACACATTTCTGGTTTAGAAGAGCCTGCTCCCTGAAATATGGGATTGTTGCACTCCAGGACAGGAATAACCCTCTGACTTTAAAACACCACACGTTGAATAGGAAAACAATCATTTTTATTGAAGATAAGTAAAAACAGCAAAATAAAGAAAAACACTAAAGGAATAGGTAAATCTAATTAGGTAAAAAGATAAGCAGGAACCAATTAGTCCAAGGTAGAGTTCAGCAAGAATGGCCATCAGACTGGAAAAAATCAACTTATATTCCCCATACCAAAAAAGGGAAATGCGAAAGACTGCTCAAACTTCTGTACAGTGGCCCTTATTTCTCATGCCAGTAAGGTAATGCTCAAGATCCTGCAAGGAAGACTCCAGCAATACATGGAGCGAGAGTTGCCAGATGTTCAAGCTGGGTTTAGAAAAGGCAGAGGAACGAGAGACCAGATTGCCAATATCCGCTGGATAATGGAGAAAGGCAGGGAGTTTCAGAAAAACATCTATTTCTGCTTCATTGACTATTCTAAAGCCTTTGACTGTGTGGCTCATAATAAATTGTGGCAAGTTCTTGGTGGGATGGGCATACCAAGCCACCTTGTCTCTCTCCTGAGGAATCTGTACAAGGACCAAGTAGCAACAGTCAGAACTGACCACGGAACAACAGACTGGTTCAAGATTGGGAAAGGCGTACGGCAAGGCTGCATTCTCTCACCCAACCTTTTTAACTTGTATGCAGAACACATCATGCGATGTGCGGGGCTTGATGAATGCAAAGCTGGGGTGAAAATTGCTGGAAGAAACATTAACAACCTCAGATATGCAGATGACACCACTCTGATGGCCGAAAGCGAGGAGGAGCTGAGGAGCCTTCTAATCAAGTCGAAAGAAGAAAGCGCAAAAGCCGGGTTGCAGCTAAACATCAAAAAAACCAAGATTATGGCAACAAGAATGATTGACAACTGGAAAATAGAGGGAGAAAATGTGGAGGCCGTGACAGACTTTGTATTTCTAGGTGCAAAGATTACTGCAGATGCAGACTGTGGCCAGGAAATCAGAAGATGCTTACTTCTTGGGAGGAGAGCAATGTCCAGTCTTGATAAAATAGTAAAGAGTAGAGACATCAGACTGGCAACAAAGATCCGCCTAGTCAAAGCCATGGTATTCCCCGTAGTCACCTACGGATGTGAGAGCTGGACCTTAGGGAAGGCTGAGCGAAGGAAGATAGATGCTTTTGAACTGTGGTGGTAGGAAAGTTCTGAGAGTGCCTTGGACTGCGAGAAGATCCAACCAGTCCATCCTCCAGGAAATAAAGCCCGACTGCTCATTGGAGGGAAGGATACTAGAGACAAAGTTGAAGTACTTTGGCCACATCATGAGGAGACATCAAAGCCTAGAGAAGACAATTATGCTGGGGAAAGTGGAAGGCAAAAGGAAGAGGGGCCGACCAAGGGCAAGATGGATGGGTGGATGGCATCCTTGAAGTGACTGGACTGACCTTGAAGGAGCTGAGGGTGGTGACGGCCGACAGGGAGCTCTGGCATGGGCTGGTCCATGAAGTCACGAAGAGTCGGAGATGACTGAACGAATGAACAACAATAGAGTTCAGCAATGCCCAAAATCAAAGTCCACAACTCACCGTCAGTACACCGATCTTGGAAGACAATCCTACTCGGGCAACGAGGGATCGCCTAAGTAAGTACAGTGAAAGTGTCGTACGACGGGTAAATTTGCCCTTATGATGAAGTCGCTAGTCTCCAGAGCCAAATTAACTACATATAAAGGTAGTAAAGGCACTTGTAGATGTAATGTCAGAGCTTTTTTGAGAAATTATGGGGAATAGGAAAAGGTCTTGCAGACTGAACATTTTCAAATGTCACAGTCTTCAAAAGGTCCAGGAGAGGGAATTCAGGCAACTATTTTCTGGCCAGTCTTGACCTTCGAGGTTCTAGAAAAAAATAATTAAGTAGTTGGTCCATGTACACTTGGGGGGGCCGAGTCCTGTGATTACTAAC